AGCCTCCCCCCCTCCCTGACAATGGGGGAACTGGCACAAGCCCCCGACGATCCCACAGAGCCCCCCGTCCCACGTGGGTGCTGCCTCTGGCCGTGTCCCCGATGAGCTGTGTCCCCCCAGCCACCCCACCCACCTGGCTGGAGCCCAGCACAGCAGTGCCGCCCTCGCAGGGAACCGCTGGGCTGGAGGACGCGGCCTCACCTGCCCACCCGTGACTGCCAGGTGCTGCTTCAGCAGAGCCATGGTGTTGGGCGTCACCACGTAGCCCTCCGTCTTGTAGTTCTCTCCTGTGAGCAGAGGATGCTCAGGGCTGCAGCACCGCCCAAACCGAGCCAAGCCCAGCAGCTGGCAGGGAAGGACACGGGGCCAGGCTGGTCCTCCGCAGCACGGAGAGCTGGGGCTGGGCACATTGCCGGCAGAGCAGCCCCGCACATGGCAGCAGCTCCTCGCACTCACCCGGCTTGTGGAACTTGAGGGCTTCTCCCCGCAGCTGCTCCAGCAGTGACTGAGTCTCTGTGCCCACCTCGCCTGCGGGGAGAAACGGCGCTGAGCAGGAGCCTGACCGCAGCTCCCGGGGCCCAGCTCGGAGGCAGGTCCCGGCCAGGAACCGAAGGGCTGGAGGAGCTGCCCACAGGAAGGCAGTCTCTTACCGTTCTCCACCACAGCCACCTTCTGCTTTTCCACCGGGGCCAGCCGGGCCCTTGCAGCCTGCAGGGACCAGCACAGCATCCTGAGCGCCTGGCCCCAGCACGCACCTTCCCCTCCTGGCCCAGCCCGCTGCCCCCAGCGCTCCTGCAGACCCGTACCCATGGTGGCGGCTGGGCCCAGAGCAGCTATTTGGGATCCTGCCTGGACATTCAGCAGGGAAATACCATCCCAGTTCCCAGCCTCCCCCTCCTCCTCACCTTTGGCTTCTTTTCCAGGTCAGCTTCTGTCTTTGGCCCCAGCAAATGCAGCACCTGGAGAACAGAGCACAGACAGGAGTAGAAAAGGCTCCCGGTGCCCCAAGGCCTGGAGGTGGCCCTGTCCAGCTGTCACCCCCCTCACCCTGTCTGCACCCACCCAGGACAGGCTGTCCCCAGCGCCGGGCCCTCCCATGGGGCAGGCCGGCAGGTCCCACAACCAGGCACGGCAGCGACAGGGAACACCACCCCAAGCAGTGCCCAACCCGCTGCCCTCGCACCCACCTGCAGGTCCACCTCGTTCTTGATGGTCTTCCCGTCCGCCCACCGCAGCCGGCTCCGCGCCTCCCCTGCGGACAGGGCACCCCGTGGGCGAGGGGAACAGCCCGGGGGGCTTCAGCCGGGGCCGCTGACACAGGACACCGCAACTGGCGGCTGAAGGCAGCCCTGGCCCCAGGGCTGTCCCTGGCACAGGGCACCGCAGGCAGCTACCACCCACAGCCCTGCCCGTGCGGGGGACACGGCAGGATGTCTCCCCTGCCTCGGGTGGGCTGCGGCACAGCAACGCAGCACCTGGGGCCGGGGCAGCCCACGGCAAAGGGCTGGCTCTCGGGATCCAGGGGAGCAGCAGCGCCAGGCAGGGGCTGCCCCGGTGCCCCAGACTCACCCATCAGCAGCCCCATGTTGAAGTGGTAACGCTCTGCCAGCAGCTCTGCTCGGTGCTCGCCGATCACGGCCTCCACCTGGGGAGCAGGACAGGGCCGCAGGGGTGAGCGTGGTAGGCGGGGAGCGTGACACCGGGGGCTGCCAGCCCGTCCTGTCCGGTGTCCCCCACACCATCCCCGCGGGGCAGGCCCCACTCACCGCCTCCTCGATCTGCTCGGGGGTGACGCACACCCCCACACCGCAGGCCCGCTCAAAGTCCGCCACGTCCAGGGGCTCCAGGGGGTGGCTCCTCACGTACTCCAGGGCGGCTGGGGACAGAGAAGCGGTGAGGAGCGGGACCCTCCCCTCCCCACCGGGGCGGGGGGGGGGGGGGGGCGGGGCCCG